CCCGAGGATACCCTCCAACAAACCTGTCTTTTACACTTGCTGTGAGGACCCCTTGTATAATTAGCGTTGCAAATAGTTTTGGGACAAAGGATCCCACAGACACGATATACCGTGAGATTGGAGACCCACAAGCAAGAAAAGAGTGAGAATAGCTGGAGAAGTGTGGGAACGCAAGCGCAGAATGGGGAACATGTCTTCCAATCCAGAGAAGAATTAATTACGTGGAAAGTATGCTAGGTTTTAAACATGTTTAACGGCATTTGTTTGCTTTGATCAACAGATTTTCACAAGCACATGCTGGGAAGCTGGGAATGCACATGTCGTTTAAACCATGCCTATGTGCAGGTCCGCTTCCTGTGGCGGCATCAACCTGTGCACCAGGCGTGCGTCAAAGCCTCGGTACTCAGAGGCACAATAGCATTGCAGAACGTCATTTGACAGTTACTAGCCGTTGTAAAGAATAAAGCGTTTGTAGAACACCCTCGTGAATTACTGTTGTTGCATGTTGTTATATACTGACTATTTTCTTAAGAGTTCGACTTCGACCTTGACCTTGATTCAACATGTGCCTTGACTTTGTTTGAGACCGATGGGCAATGCTTGATAAAGCCTCTGGTGAGCTTGTCGCTGCAAGCTTGGACAAGACTCACAAGGTCAAAAACGACGTCATATATAGATTGACAGAAATCGAATGTGTTGAGGTCCTTCATATGGGCATTATAGATTTTCTGCAGCCTTGGACAACGTCCAAAGTAGCTGCAATGTGCCCCTGCCAGATCACGAAGGTTTTCAAGACAGACTGGGTCACGGTTGTGGCATGTGTTGGCAGTGTTGGCACAATCCACATCGAATGCACTTGTGTCCATTGCACTTCAGTGATCCAGACTTCATACATCAAATGCTTTCATGAAAGGAGAGCCCATGGCATGGAGGTACATCAAATCCTTTGAGTTCAACAAGGAGCCACACCACTGGGTCCTGCTGGTTGTGCTGAATAGGACGTGCAGGGACAGATAAATCGAGAACTAGGGCTTTGTTTTGGTTTTGGCAGGCAACAGTGCCGCCACCTCTTTATGGACGGAGGCCTCAACCGACAAGCGATTGGACAGCGGTCTATGTAAACTTTGGTGTGGGGTCAAGCAACATCAAGCATTGTGTTGGGCAATGGCAGCCATGCATAACCAACCATCAAATAACTATTTTGGTGAAAAAAGATCGAAAAAACAAAAAGCAAATGAACATGCAAAAGCAGCGCAATTTGCTTTGTTTTTACATTTGTTGTGTTTTTTGTTTTTTCCTGGTACCACTTCTGCACTTATGAGAACTTTTACCCGTCAGCAATATTTGCTTTACGCTCCTAGGAAAAAAGCGAAAAACATGCGAAAATAAAGCGAAAAAACGGTGAACATAAAGCGAACAAAAATGTTAAATAATTAAAAAACAATATGGAATCCACGAACCCAAATGCAAACACGTTCGAAAAACTACATATGTCCAAATGACACTCCTGTGGGACACTCTTGTAGGACACTCTTGTGGGACACTCTTGTAGGACACTCTTGTAGGAAACTCTTGTGGGACACTCTTGTGGGACACTCTTGTGGGACACTCTTATAGGACACTCTTGTAGGACACTCTTGTGGGACACTCTGTGGGACACTCCTGTGGGACACTCCTGTGGGACACTCTTGTAGGACACTCTTGTGGGACACTCTTGTGGGACACTCTTGTGGGACACTCTTGTGGGACACTCTTGTAGGACACTCTTGTGGGATACCCCTGTAGGACACTCTTAAGGGGCACTCTTGTGAGACACTCTAGTGGGACACTCTTCTGGGACAGTCTTGTAGGACACTCTTGTGGGACACTCTTGTAGGACACTCTTGTGGGACACTCTTGTAGGACACTCTTGTGGGACACTCTTATAGGACACTCTTGTGGAACACTCTTGTGGGACACTCTTGTAGGACACTCTTGTGGGACACTCTTGTAGGACACTCTTGTGGGACACTCTTGTGAGACACTCTTGTAGAACACTCTTGTGGGTCACTTGCAGGACACTCTTGTAGAACACTCTTGTAGGTCACTTGCAGGACACTCTTACACGACACTCTTGTAGGACACTCTTGTGGGACACTCTTGTAGGACACTCTTGTAGGACACTCTTCTGGGACACTCTTACACGACACTCTTGTAGGACACTCTTGTGGGACACTCTTGTAGGACACTCTTCTGGGACACTCTTGTAGGACACTCTTGTAGGACACTCTTGTGGGTCACTCTTGTAGGAAACTCTTGCGGGACACTCTTGTAGGACACTCTTGTGGGACGGACACTCTTGTAGGACACTCTTGTGGGACGGACACTCTTGTAGGACACTCTTGTGGGTCACTTGCAGGACACTCTTGTGGGACACTCTTACACGACACTCTTGTAGGAAACTCTTGTGGGACACTCTTGTAGGACACTCTTGTGGGATACTCTTGTCGGACTCTCTTAAGGGACACTCTTGTAGGACACTCTTGTAGGACTCTCTTGTGGGTCACTCTTGTAGGAAACTCTTGTGGGACACTCTTGTGAGACACTCTTCTGGGACACTCTTGTAGGATACTCTTGTAGGGCAGTCTTGTGGGTCACTCTTGTGGGACACTCTTGTAGGACACTCTTGTGGGACACTCTTCTGGGCCACTCTTGTAGGACACTCTTGTAGGACACTCTTGTGGGATACTCCTGTAGGACACTCTTAAGGGACACTCTTGTGAGACACTCTAGTGGGACACTCCTGTTGGAAACTCTTAAGGGACACTCTTGTGAGACACTCTAGTGGGACACTGTTGCGGGACACTCTGGGACACTCTTCCAGCTCCCCAGATACTCCGCGTACTAAAGTTGTACTACAAGGTCGCCAGTTCTCAGCTTCCAGCTCCATAGATTGCTCCGCGTACTAAAGTTGTACTACAAAGTCGCCAGTTCTCAGCTTCCAGCTCCACAGATTGCTCCGCGTACTAAAGTTGTACTACAAAGTCGCCAGTTCTCAGCTTCCTGCTCCACAGATTGCTCCGCGTACTAAAGTTGTACTACCAAGTCACCAGTTCTCATCTTCCAGCTCCCCATACTCCGCGTACTACAGTTGTACTACAAAGTCGCCAGTGCTCGCCTGCATTTCGCGCGCTCGATCTCCGCAGAGGGTTGCGCGGGCACCGGACAAATCGCACTCTCGCCTGCATTTCGCGCACTCGACACGCACGATCTCCGCAGAGGGTTGCGCGCGCATGGGACAAATCGCACTCTCGCCTACATTTCACACACTCGACACGCACGATCTCCGCAGAGGGTTGCGCGTCAAGTCTCCAAAACGAGCGTTTCGTACGAGACTTCCTCAAAAACTCACACGTCAAAGTCTGCAAAACGAGCGTTTCGTACGAGACTTCCTCCAAAAGTCAAGCGGAAACACCCATCGGAGCACACACATCACGCAAGTTTCGCGATTCCAGCCCCTCCAAACAACATCCGCTCACACGCCAATCCCAATGTGACAGCGACATTCACCTCTACCCCAACTCACAACCTCCCGATTCCCTGCGCCTGCCACGAATCATTCCCCATCCACACGTCTAACGCGCACAAAGTACTGCGCCTGCCACGAAATGTCACCTCCCTCACACCTCGCAACCTCACGATTCCCTGCGCCTGCCACGAGAATTGCACTTCCACGCCTCAAAACCCGCACGAAGTCCTGCGCCTGCCACGAAAAGTGACAATATAATATCATCGCATGTGAGCTTCAACAAAATTTGCACCACACCACACGTTTGGAATCATTTCGACCCGTTCAGAGCACACTCCCATCCACCAAAATCGCCATTTCAGCTGAGACTTGTCACGAAAACCGAGCTTCGATGCCACACCCTGAAACGCAAATCCCAATGGCACGGCCACATCCAACACCCCAAAAACACGACTCTCCAAACGCTAATCCCAATGGAACTGCGCAGCAATCTGCGGATCTCACGAAACGCTGCGCCTGTGCAGCGAAATGCATCACGTTTCTTGCGCGACATGTCGGTGTCATGCAAATCACAATGGAATAGCGGCGCAAACTGACACGTGACACATCCATGAAAAGTCACTTGCAAAAGCTTCCCCCAATGGTTGCAAATTTGAGACGCGACGACGACCACAAACGACGAGAGACGACGACAGACGACGAGAGACGACGAGAGACGACGACAGATGACGACAGACGACGAGAGACGACGAGACGACGCAACCCCCACACCCCCAACCATAAACGGGAACCCTTCGCTACGCATTCGGGAAAAAACACGACAAACACGCACAGCTACATTTTTGTTGCTTGTTTGCTTTATCTTTTGTTTTTTGCTTTATAAAATTATGTTGGCTCCTTGTATCTATGGTTGGCGCGCCCGACTCAAATCAAACAGCTTGTTCATGTTTTTCGCGTGTGCCCTCGTGTTTTGGACCCACAGGTTTGCCAGGCACTTCGAGGCAAGATACGATTTCCCGGAGTTGTTCAATAGTTGTTTAATAGTACGAAGCAAGAGCTTTGTCATGTATTGTCCAAATATCAGGCAAGGCTTCTGAATGACGAGAACCTTGTACCACAACCAGAAACGGTGGTGCACACAGATTTGTTGGAAGGTGGATTGTATATTCAGGGACATTGTGTTTTTTTGTGGATAGGTTTAGTAGGTTTCAGACAATACTCATTTACAGCTGTCAGTGTGGCATCAACCTGACCTTCGATTAACCTGACATGTTACTGTAACAGATTGGAGTAAGATTTTATATGATTTTACCGAATGCACAACAAGCAGTGATGGTGCTTGCTCAGGTTGCCGCGACTGCAGCAGAGCGCTGGTGCTCATTCAACGAAGATGACGCGAGTCAGAGCACTCAGGGCTCTTGGCACTTACTCGCTCTTTGTCGAATGTGCCATGATTTCACACAAGCAAAGTAGAACACAACTGAAATTGCCGAGGGCACTTTGTTACCTTTGCATACCTTTGCTAAATTTGCTTCCCCTTTGAGACTAAAAGCTTCGATATCGGAACAAGTGCTTGAGGCCAGCTTTCAAACAAAGCCTGATTTATGCACGCTTCATCCTGAGAAGTTTTCCCAGCCAGACATGATGCTTTTATCTCTGTTCCCTCCCTTCCTAATTTGGGCAATTGTCCAGAATTGCCGATTTGCATTTAAACCACGCACGCTGCCTTGAGGTTGCTGCACTGAGAAGGAGGGCCGTCGTGCAGAATCATGAAGACGTGGATTTGCAGTTTGCGCGAACGCAACAAAGTTAGTGTGGTTCAAAAATAGCACTTGAACAAACCGCAACAAACCACGCTGATTTCTTTTTGTTGCATTTCATTCCCAAGAAGCTTTTGAGCAACCATTATGCAGTCGAACATGAAAAGAAGAGACATGGATCATCAGAGATTTGTCCGATTTCACCTCTGCTCAGTTTGAACGTGTTTGAGCAAAGAAACACGAGAAAACAAGGCATAAATGGGTGTGAAAACGTTTGCAACCGTGTTTTGGTATGCTTGGACCAAGTCCGCCGTCCAGTATCCAAGAGTCTCTTGCTGCAAGCACTGCTCCGCAAAGGGACTGGTGCGTAGCAGAGTTATCCTTGTGCAGTGGTTTAGCTTGCCTCAATAGGTTGAAATAAATACGTATATAGAAGAAAGACATACACATAGTGCTAGTGATAGTGCAATCTTGTTGACTGAACCACTGGCGAGGTAGGCCTCGAATTGCCTGAGGAAAAAGAGGTCCAGAGGAGTATGCAACAAGTTGGTTTCTTTTCTTCAACCTGTAAACTTCGGTTGCGCTAGTTATGGAGGCTGTTGATTTCGGCATTTCCTGCTCAGTGCCACTTCTGTGGCAAATGCTGCGGAGCCGGAGGTGCCCAAAACTTAGCTCTGCTTTCGATGGAATTACGGTGTCATTTTGCGGACAGAGTTCAGTTGACCCACGTGAGTTTGCTCTTTTTTCACACTTTAGAGCCCTTGACAAGAAGGCTACTTACAGCGTTAGGACTTGGCCTCCACTCCCGCTACTTTATCGTTCTGCACTTCACTACATTATCGCAAAGCCCCGGGATGTTCTTTCGGGCAACATGAAGATGGACAATATATACACTATTCGTGCTATTTTTTCGTAGTTTCTTTAGACAAGGTAACTATATTGTTCTATGTACATATATATATATATAACTATATATATATTGTATGATGATACATGTCCTTGAATTGGAAACAGGAGAGGTCTTGCTGAGCGCTTCAGGGCTCTTTGCTCAGGCTGGCGATATAAGCCATCTCCTGCAGCTTCCGCAGTCTTCGCCTCTCGGACGTTTAATGAGAAGCGCACAAAGTACAAAAGCAATGCATGGGTAGATGGAAAATCCAATCTCATGCAGGACCAATTGTCTGGAAGCGGAAGCTGTGAAGCTCTTTCTCTGTATCCTTCCCATGATGTTGAAATCAGTGTTCTTTTTTTGTGGGATTCATCCTACCTTGAAGCAATTGACGAGGGTGGTTTTGCCCACCCTGCTGCAAGCAGAAAGTCCATGTGAAAGACCCATGCTTTCTTGTGTACCACTAGCAACTACACCAGTATGCAGCATGCACTGTTCAAAAAATCCATGTGACGTGTGAGCATTGTTACTAGTAGCGATGGCCTCCAACCTACTTGCGATGGCCTCCACCCAATAGCAGCGTCCTTGCTAGGAATAGAATATGCACCACGCATCCAAAACCAGATGCTCAGCCAAGTTTCTAAGGCATGCGATTCAATGCAGCCTCTTGGACGACAGACACAGTGAGTTTCAATTGTCTTATGTGTATCGGCCTCCGTTTTCTTTAGATTCCTATCAACGTGGTCAGAATTGGCTGCAAGCAGCCGGCAAACAAGGGTTATCTGATAACCGTTATCAATTAATGTCCACTACGACTACAGGTGAGTTGTTTTTGAAGTTGGTCCATAAATGGCACCATATGCTTGTGCTATTGTGAGTGCGTTTTTGTTTGTTTCCTTTCTTCTTTCCTCGCGTGTGTTCAACCAGGGTTTGCGGTGTTCGTTGTGCTTCTATGAGGCTTTTGCCTTCGTGGCCTTGCAGCCTGCTGGGTCCTTGCGAAGCTACATCCAACCGGATTTTATGAAAGCGAGTGCGATGTGCACAAACTACTCTGTCCAGTCGTTTTGCCATTAGGTCTATGCTGCAAAGATAGCCTCCTTCCGAAGATCCGACCCAGGAACACATGGAACTCTTGTAGTGAAACTCAAAGCAGAGACTTCTTTGCAAAAAGATGGCAGGATTGATCATGTGGAGAATGTTTCGTGTTGTCTGCTTCTTTGTGTCATCTTCTTGAAAGGATGTTATGCCGTTTCGATCTTGGACACAAATTTGCTGCTGTTGTGCGAATCGCACTTGCTCAGGAAAACTTTGTGAATTCATCAACCATCTTCGGAGAATTGGGTGGCATCAAATTAATCGACCACTATGGGGTGTGCATCAATTGCGCCGATGGAGCGGACCTTCGACGGCAAAATCAGTGAAAACTTGTTGGAGGAACAGTGAAAGCTACAGAACAGCCATTGGTGTTTCAACCTGACCCCGTCTCGATAGCTTGAGGCAGCGAGATGGAATATGGTAGAAATTGTAGAATGTGAGAGATGGAGTTTAGAAGACTTTAGTAACAAGTGCATTGCTACTAGTAACAAGGGCATTACTACTAGTAACAAGAAGCTACATGAAGCTACTGTGTTTCAGAGAAGGTCACAGGCGCTTTGATGCGGATCACGTGATGAGGAACAGCCATTGTGCACACAGCTTGCCAAGGTGTGCACAGCGCCGAACACGCCAGACTACAAGGTACCAAATTCTTCGAAGATTGTCAGATATGCGATGCAATGTGATGCATGTTAAGAACTGCGTTACATATCAGGACACAACTTCAGATTCAACTGATGAATGCGAGATGGTGCCCTTTTGCTTGCATGTTTTCTTCGAGGTAGTCGATCCGCAAAAGGCTTGCAATACTGCACCAGCCGCAGGTGATAAATGGAGCCCGCGCCTCAGCGAGACCAAGTTGCGAGTGTGAGTAACGCCGATAGATAGAGAGAGAGAGAGAGCGAGCGAGACTTCAGCTGTACTGTGCAGAAGCAATGGGTGCACAAGGTTGGCGTGTCAACAAGGCGAGCCCATATGATATCAAACTAGAGTATCCGAATCTCGGACGGCAATGCTGCATTTTTCCTGCGGCATGGGTTTGGAGGGTTTCAATGGGTTTCAATATTGCTCCTTGGAGTGACAAGAGTCCAGATAGCAAGCGGCCAACTGGTACCGAGGCTAAAGAGCTTGAAGCATGAGATGCACTTTAAGATTGAAGTCATTTCTGCGGTGGATCAATCAGGTCGGTGAATAGACATAGACAAACGAGACCAAAGATGCTTTGTGAATGTTGTTAAAAGAGGCGAAACCCATGGAGATAAATTCACTTCAGGATTTGTTGAACACGTTTCAACGTTTGAGGTACCAACTCACCAGAGCAAATGGGCCGGCAAGCTACGTCTTGGGTGGCAGAGGCAGTACTGGGAACAAAAACACATCGTGCGTGGCTGAAGACAGCCGCGACCTCAAGCAGCACTGGTCTAATGTCACAAGAGCTGAGATTGTGAGGCAATCAAGATTGAAGGTCAAGATAATAATCAGCATCCATCCATCCATCCATCCATCCATCCATGCTCACCGAATAGAGCCTCTATAAGCCTCTCTATATCGGTTGGGACATTCTAATTTGTTCTCAAATCCTGCTGCGAGGTAGCGAGGTAAATTGAAACTCCCACCTCTAAGATCCGGCAAGTTTTGGCTCACAGGCCGCAGAGACTGAATTGTGTCTCCATATCATTGGAAATCAAGGAAGCCACGAGCCCTCGACCAAGGTCGAAACTAGTTTGTATAGGCGAGTATAGGCGAGTACAACAATTGAGCAGCCCTAAGAAAAAGAAAACTAATATAGGGAAGTGTCGAGTGCTGGTGATGTAAGATGTAACACGCACATGCTTTTGAAGCTGTGCCTGTGCGTGTTGAAAGGCTCACGCGGAGCGGGAAGCAGGTGCCAAGCTCCTTTCACTCCTTGTCATATTGCCTGCCAAGATCATCACTGCCCGCCCATGTCTTCTGCAGCGTGCACAACTGATAAATGGTCAGCCCTGAACTCTTCAATTCAAAGCAGAATGCGCCTCTATCTTTGGCTTGTTTGCTGTGTATGTACACATACCAGGTATTTGTATTCATCTCGCCTATGTAGCCGTCTGGCATTCTTTCTCAGAAAAGCACACACACAGCAGTTGAAGAAAGTGTCTTTGCTGCGGCAATCTGGTGTGACCTGATTTGAGTTGCCATGTGTTGTGGCTTTCCTTTCACTGTGTGCTTGTGAGGCAATGAACCTCAACGGCCACTTCAGCAAGGCTGTGACTGGAAATCTCACCATGGACTTGCCAAAGATCGCAGAGGCGCCTTCCGCCTACGTAAGACTAATTTTAACAGAAGATTGTCACAGATTATGATAACTCGGACGAAACTACTTGAAACTCCGCAAGTTTCCTGCAGTAAGGACTTTTTCGATGAAGTCAGAGTCTCAGTGACAGCTCTAGCATGTTGCCCATCGCATGGTTTATACTTGACCTTATTTGAGTCTCCTTTTCCAAGGTTTGTGTGCAACCAATCACGACCCAGGGATATGAGGTGACAGAGACCTCTATGAAGAAGAACAAGTTCAGCGTAGGTGCCAAATGCGCCAAAGTTGCTCAGCATTTGCTATGAGAGCCATTTACCATCTTGATCAAATGTGTCCAATGAAATGGAGCAGGCTTGCACTAGAGAGTCGTTCGAGAAAGAAAGATAGAGAGGGAGGGTGAGAGGTTGAGAGGAGTGATGCAGCAGTTGGCATTAGCATGCATTAGCTGAAGTAGACGTTCCAAGGATTACACCGGATACGCGCAAGTGACCGAGTGCGCAGAAGAGCAGCTAGCATACTTGCTCTTTGGCATAATGTTATCCTGACGAAAGAAGGACCGAAGCCCTCGGACCATGTCTTAGCCTTCTTCCTGTCCTGTCCCAGACTCAGGTTGTCAGGTTGCCGCCCAGAGATGTGTACCCAGCCAGAGAATACACTGGGCTATGATTTGCTTGGTGCTCAGCAGTCCCAAGTCTTTTTGTTGCTTGGTCCTCCTTCTTTTCCTTCTCAACAAGCTAGGTCTGTGCTTGATTTGTCGCTTGCATCCTTCGATGTTGACGTAACCTGCACCTTGGAAAGCAACTTTGACTCTTAGCTTGCCCAAACGTTCCCCACCACCCCAATCCCTTTTGGGTTTGGCATATCATGCCATATAAGCAACTCTAAGCAACTCTAAGCAACCTGCACAGCCATGCTCGGCTACTTGCTTCGAATAATTTCTGTCGGTTCTGTTTCTTGTGTTCTGTCTTTCTGTCTTTCTTTCTTGCTTTCCTCATGTCGTCATTCTTTCTTTATTGCACATTTGCTATAACTTTTGCTGCTTGAGGTATGTCTGGATACATTGGAGCTCCTACAGTAGCCAAATGTACTGGGGACGGCCGTCCATTTTCGGTGGCAGGCTGCAAGCTTCAGACGACAACAACTTCGACCACCACGATCACAACAACTACCACGACTACCACCACCACTACCACCACTTCAACCACTACAACTGCAACTTCAACAAGCACTTCTACCACAACCTCCACAAGAACTTCATTGAGCACAACAACAACCAGCACAACAACGTCTACCACCATCACCACAACGACAACAAGTACATTCACCACAACCAGTACCACAACAACAACAGCAACTACCACGACAACTTCCACGACCACAACTACTTCTACCACAATAACAAGCACATCGACAACAACCACTACAACAACATTCACTAGCACAACTACCACCAGCACAACGACTACCACAACTACGTCGACCACCACTCTCGTGCTTTTTTGCCTAGATGCTGAAGACAAAACGGGCTATGACCTGGTTGAAAACAGCCTCCAGCTCAATGTTCCTTGGGTGAGTGACATTTTGACGAGAAGAGATCTTGGATTGACAGTGAATCGCGTGTACCGTACTGCATCTAGAATATATAAGATCTGAATGAGAGTTGGACCAGGAAAACTTACAGGACAATGATAGTTGGAGGAAAATTGAATTCCAAAACAAGCTTAGTACCCTTTTGGGGTTGGATAAACAATTGCCGTGATGCTAACTATGCGGGGGGTTGGGCCGCATCATGTGCATCACCGGTGTTGTTTTTCTTATCCAAAACGGGTGCTAGGCTTAGTACCCGTTTTGGGTGGGAGAACCAATCCCCGTAATGCTAACTATGGGGGTTGGAGCGCATCGAGTGCATCGCGGATGTTGTTTTTCCTATCAAAAGCGAATACTAAGCTTAGTACCCGTTTCGCAATGTTCTTCAAATTACAATTGACTGATGTTCCTGTAGTTCTTCCTGGTTGAGTTTTGTTTGAAAGATGGCTAAAGAACACAAATAGCAGATCATCTTCATCTTCGCTAATGTGCCAACTTGAATGAACAGCATGTTGTTAAGATGGAAATTGAGGATTCATCTGAATCTACGTTTAAGCGATGCACAGTAGCAAAATGGCTAGTAGCTTTGCTCACCAGGTGCTCAGTGCCTTTACTTGTTTTTTTGCGTGCAATACATGTCTACTTTGCTCAGGTTGCGGCGTTCTCCGTCAATGCCTCTTGTGCCAATGGCTACTATGGAGTTGCAAAAGCAATTGCTGGAGTCTAAGTCAAATGCAGACAGAGAGAGACCTGCATGGGAGCTCAAATGCGTTGGTGGTAGTACTAGTAGTAGTAGTAGTAGTAGTAGTAGTAGTAGCAGTAGTAGTAGTAGTAGTAGTCCCAGTCGTAGTCGTGGTCGTGGTCGTGGTGGTGGTGGTGGTGGTGGTGGAAGAAATCCGACAAGAAGTTGCAATAAGCTTTATGAGTACTGATTGAAATTATGGTTTGTCAGATGATGTTTGGCTGTGACTGCCTGCTAGCTGCTAGCTGGAGTTGTCGTGCATGTGCTGGAAAAGATACTCCATCACAACTCCAGAATGTCGCACCTGGCTCCGTAACTAGTAACTACATCCACATTCCACAATGATTTTCGACTTTGCCTTTCTTGCGTGTGCGGCCAAGATTTGCAAGTCCGCAGACGAGCCATACACACTCAGCGGTTGTCACAAGATCGAGACCTGTCAAGAGCCTCAGGCTCTTGGTTATGAGTTGACGCTCGGAAGCAAAAGCCCTTGTGCTGACAGGTAGTAATCAGAGATGTCCCACATAAATCTACCCGAGCATTTTTTGTAGTCTTGTTCAAGAGTACCATTCGTTATGATGGAGTAGTAAAAGACTAAAGATTTCAATTTGAAGTATATTATAAGTTTTATATAGTATATAAAAGTCTTGTGGTCACTGCTCAACCTCAATGCACCACATATTCTGCAATGCTGGATGATGGAGATCTTGGGCATACTGTCGCATAACCATACGTCCAAGGAGCGATGGCAGCCGGAACTTGCATGACTGGAGCCTTACAGCACATTGTGCAATGCACTTTCACGGCAATGCAAAGGTCCAGAAATGCACCAAGGATGCTGAAGAGCGCCTTGGTTTGCAACCGCGACCGTCCTTGTTTGTGCACACTCCTTTCGCCGAAGCACTGTAACAAGAAAAAAGCATTTAGCAACAAATCCCACTGAGTACCCTGTTGACCGTAGTATTTCCCTATCGAAGTCACAGATTTGTTGCAGTTATCGCATCGAGATCCACGCCGTGAGGTTTCAAATTTCAGGATGTGAGCCAGATGCATGTTCTGCGCCAGCGGACAAGACTGGGTACGTGGTGGCCGAGGATGCAACAGAAATCTTTCGATTCAGCGTGGAAGCGACGTGTGCTTCGGGATACAAAGGCACACCGCAGGTAATCCCTTGCAAACAGCACTCAGGCGAATACCAACTGTCAGGTTGCGAGCAAACCACTACTACTACGACTACCACAACATCGACAACCACAACAACGACAACCACAACAACTACGACAAGTACCACAAGTACCACAACCAGCACAAGCACAACCACCTCGACCACGACCACAACTACTTCAACCTCCACAACGACAATTACATCGACCAGCACAGTGACCAGCACTACGACTTCTACAACGACCACGACCACTACGAGCACCTCAACATCCACAACAACTGTCACCACAACCACAATTACTAGCACCAGGACCAGCACCTCCACGACAACCACTACTACCACTACGTCGACGACAACTTCAACTACTACCACAAGCACCGCCACAACGACATCTACAACAACAACATTCACCAGCACAACTACAATCACTACTACAACCATCACATCCACTACCACTTCAACCACTACTACGACGACAACAACTACGTCAACTACTACAACCTCAACCTCTACTACGACCACAACCTCAACAACTACAACATCGACATCCACATCTACTACCACTACAACGTTAACAACAACGACGACCACAACATCCACCACCACTACAACAATTACCTCGACAACAACAACGACAACTAGCACATCTACAACAACGACAACTACGGCCACCACTACCAGCACAACCACCACTACTACTACTTCAACCAGCACTTCAACCACAAAAACTAGCACCACAACCACCACCACCACATCCACGACCACAACTTCGACCTCAACAAGCACCACTACGACTGCCTCTTGGTTCCATCAACAAACTAAACGACTCGCCTCAGGCTTGGAAGGGCAAAGGCTGACAACTTTTTTTAGCATCGCTGGCAGTTGATCTTTATTCCCATGTTCAAGCATCAAGCATGTTTGAGGTTGCAGAATGCACTACGCCAGCTCTAAATGACAGAAAAGGCTCGAGTTTGCAAACAGAGTTGGCTTCTGAAAGGGCCCTGGTGGCCATTTGGTGATGTGGTGTCACTGTGGTGTCACACTGTTGTCACGGTTGTCGAAGGCTACGTGGTGAGAAGCGTCAGCACTTACATCTTCAACTTTGAAGTTGCAGTCAAGCCTGAAACCTGACAGAGTGAGAGAGAGAGAGACACGCATGATTAAGCTAGTATCCGATTGACGCGATGCACTTGTTGCTAGCAATCAGCTTAGTTTCACGGCTTCAGTAGGTTTCAGTCTTCTCACTCATTCTGCATGTCCAATCAGTCTAATGCGTTCGCAACACGAATGACCCGCCGCACTTTGAGCGTGGATTTCTATCAGGTGCGATGAGAACTACTTGGGCACAGCTAGAGTGTGCAGAGGTGCCAAAAGCACGGCGTGATGGGCTGAGCTGCCTCACAAGAAAGAGCAAGAAATAATGCTTCTTCAGTGATTAGATTAGATGTGTTTTGTGCCTCAACATATGCAGGATGATGCGGGTCGTATTTCGTGCTACCTTTTCTTCTGCTTTTCTTCATGTTTGCATATGAATATGTTTGGTATTGTTTGGACCTGCTTTTCGAAAGGAGCCCTACAAGCTAAGTGGTTGCCGAGTCAAGATGTGCACCGCACCTTTTGACACAACTGGCTACAGCGTCAAGGAGGACTCCTTGGCGATGCATAGCTTTTGGGTCACTGCCAGGACTGGGGGAATATTGATCTCATTCAAGATTGTCGGTTTGTTTGGCACAAACTTGTTTGTTTTCGTTGCGCTGAATATTACATAATAATACTAGTATGTTGTTTCGTGCTTCCCTTTTTCATCGAACATGCCGCATGTTGCTCTAGATTGTTCACACTATATTTCCATTGAATGAAGAGAGCATTTTCTGCATTTGCAGATGTTCGAGCGGATGGTTTGGCACAGCGGCGGTCAAAGCCTGCAGTGAACCTGGTACAGAATATCAACTTGAAGGTTGTCACAATGACTGCTTTGCTCCAGTACCTTGGCTCGCAACAAAGAAAATATAAGAAATTTGATTTTTTGCTTGCATCAATGGTGTTTTGTTTGCTTGTGGACGCCAATTTCCGCCAAAGCTACAGGAGAGCACCGAAGGCTACGAAGTGAAGGAGAAGAATCTTCGCATAAGAAGTTTTGACGTCGAAGCCTCATGTGTCCGAGGATACATCGGAACTGCGTCAGTGCTTCCTTGTAGCGCAGAAACCCGGATGTACCAATTGAGAGGCTGTCAAGAGGATTTGCGGATGTGCAAGGCTTCTTCAAACACTCAGGGATACGTGATCTTTGAACGTGACCTTGTGGTGAGCATCTTCAACGTCTCTGCGAGATGTGCTGAGGGCTGGACTTCGGCACCTGGTGAGGATGTCAAGGTTGCTCCATGCACAGCCAACAATGGGCTCTATCACCCCTCCGGCTGTGTTCCATCAAAATATTGCGTGTCCCCAAACACCGTGGGTTACGTCGTGGATGAGAAGCAGTTGTTGGTGTCCCACTTTAAGGTGGAAGTGTCCTGTGCCGCTGGCTACGCTGGCAAGCCTATAGCATCAACCTGTCAGGATGATGGCAGACCATATGCTCTTGCAGGCTGCGCGGTGGACACCAACCCGTGCGTCGCTCCAAGCAACACCGCGGGGTACATAGTCAAGGAGCATGATCTCATCAAAAGCACCTTTAACGTGGAAGCTTCTTGGCGTACAATGCAAAGCAACGGCCAGGTTCGTTGTGTTGTGACGGTATTGAGAACATTTGCTCCTGGAGATTGGAGCCAAATTGAGGTTTCTTGTGCAAAGGGCTACACTGGGGATGCAATTGTGGAGGAGTGCCCGTCACCAGGCAGTGCCTACCGCCTATTCCTCAGGAAGGCAATGCAACGTTCGTCGGAATTCAAGATTGCTTACCATCCCTGTTCCTCCAAGGTTTGAAAGGTTGTATTTAAATGTAAATTCCTGCCAGCGTTAAAAAAAACACATATTTATATAATCACACATGTAATTATGTATGAAAACTAGACGACGGTTGGCCCGAGAGCGAGACATGTAATTGTCCAGCACTGTCGAAAAGATGTATAGAAAGAGAGAAAGAGAGGGTGGATGTGAAGGAGTGACAGTGTGATGTGCAGGTGCGATATAAATCTGTAGATGTATGGAGGTGGAGAGGTAGATCTGTGGATGTGAGTGTGCGAAGATGTAAATGCACAGAGACGAGAGAAAAGATACGTAGAAAGAAAGAAAGACAGGACAGATGTGAAGGAGCGACAGTGTGGATGTACAGATGTGATATAGATGTGCAGATGTGTGGGTGTGGTGAGGTGGAGAGGTAGATCTGCGGATGTGAGCGTGTGAAGATGTAAATGTAGAGAGGTGAGGGGGTGTAGACGTAGATGCGTCGATGCAACGGCAATGCAACGTCAACCTTAGTTGTGCAAGCACAACGCTGAAGAGGTTCAACTAGAACTGAAGAACGTACATTTCGAACTGGAGTTTCCACGAACAGGGCGACCTGAGAGTAAGCGACGTCACGATCATGACAAGCGACTCGTGTATTCCAAGCGAACATCGTTTGTCATGAAGGTGAAGTACACACATACTAACGTCACGATGACTCTTTTGTGGCAGCCACTTATGAGTAAGCAAAGTAGCTAAAGTTTGTCAACCTCTCAAGAGAGCCGGGTGGTCGGGAGACATGACTCAGCTGCAGGGGCGCCAGAGCAGCCGCGAGAGATGACTCATCCGCGCACTCAAGTTGTACTACAAAGTCGCCGGTTCTCAGCTTCCAGCTCCACAGCTTGCTCCGCGTACTAAAGTTGTACTACAAAGTCGCCAGTTCTCATCTTCCAGATCCCCAGATACTCCGCGTACTAAAGTTGTACTAGAAAGTCGCCAGTTCTCATCTTCGAGCTCCCCAGATACTCCGCGTACTCAAGTTGTACTACAAAGTCGCCAGTTCTCAGCTTCCAGCTCCACAGATTGCTCCGCGTACTACAGTTGTACTACAAAGTCGCTAGTTCTCATCTTCCAGCTCCCTAGATACCCCGCGTACTAAAGTTGTACTACAACTTCGCCAGTTCTCATCTTCCAGCTCCCCAAATACTCCGCGTACTAAAGTTGTACTATAAAGTCGCCAGTTCTTGCTCCGCGTACTAAAGTGGTACTACAAAGTCGC